CTTAGGGTGGCCACCTGGGTCCATGAAATGAGTGGACAGGGGGGTACTACAGCAGTGCAGAGATGGGATGAATCTGGACATATTCTTTTTGTACCCTCTCAGGCACATAGTGCCAGTAAGGACTCTTACTGACTGCCAGCAGAAGGGAGAGAAACTGCTGATTGCTATGGGGCAGACTCCCTGGTGGGAAGGCCCTGAATACAGCTGGTAAGTGAGACTGATACTGGTAGCGCTGGAGGGCTACAAGTGGGTCTTGACAGGAATAGACAGTCTCTGTACTAAACTTTGCTTACCTGGTAGAAGATACAAATGCTCAGAGTGCTATTTAAAAAACCAGAACAGAAGACATTGCAAGGATTTGAATGGCCATCCATCATTTCTTCAAACCAAGGAACACACTTGAATAGCCCATAATGTCCAGCAATGGGAGAGAAATATCCTCCTCATAGTAATAATCTGATAGAAAGATGGAATGGTAATTGAAACACTGGTTGTCTCGGGGAGAGATAAAAGCATAAGGGGCTGTCTTACATGCCTTCATGAGTGTGTGCTCAAATTCAACATGAGTAGGACTAAAGGAGTGACCCCATTAGATTTCTCTGTATTTCTGGTGGATCTGGGGAAGAGGGGGTGGGGAAGAATGCTGGTATGACTATGCAATTCTTGCCAAGGGAGGATTACACTGGTATAACAACTATAGTTTTTTCTTTCTTCCCCATATCACCTCAATTCCCCCCCTTCCTCCTCCCATGCAGTGGTTCTAGTAGAAAGTACAAGTGCTGAAAGTAGGGGTGATTCCTAAGCAAGGAACTGTAACAATGTTTTTAAACCCGATGTCAAAATTCCTAAGGGCCTGATGGGGGTAGGTTGTGTCTTCACCCCATCTGGCAAAATTTGGGTTAACAATGAATGCAGCTCTATCGCCTGGTGGTAAAAATGGCCTGCCAGTTCTGCATCTATATAACCTTATCCTATATTAATGTGAATGAACTGAAGGGGAGGCACATAGTGTCAAAATTTAATTAGAAGACACCCAGCTGTTATCTGCCACAGAATTGATTGCTTGCTTGCTGAAGCGGAGAAATCCACACACATTTGGTAACAGAATTGACCAAATTTGTTATTGGTTATTAGTGAAAACACAACACCTTTTAAAAAAATTCTCATTAGCACATCTGGAACATAGCAAGAGCTCAATAAATATTTCCTGATTGAACTAAGTCCATTGGCCTTTTCTTTTCTCAGAAATCCATACTTATACATGCAATGAGAGATGGTTATTTCAAATTGAAAGATTAATGATGGAGAGGTAACCTGAGAACTGAGTGACAAAAAGAGCCAGGAGGAGATGCTCACAAGCAGGGAGCCTCTTTTCCTTCCAGTCAAGGGTTCAGATGCCCATACTGACCAGCCGCAAAAAGAAAAAAAGAAAGAAAGAAAAGAAACTCCTTAAGAGCAAGGGTTCTTTACACCCATTTATTTTTCTCACAGTTCCTGACACAATGCCCTGCAGGAAGAAAGAAAGAAGAAAAAAAGTTAGGGAGAGAGGGGAAAGAAGGAAGGAGGAGGGGAAGGAAGGAAAGAAAGGAAGGAAGGAAGGAGGGAGGGAGGGAAAGAAACAGGGAGGGAAGGAAGGAAGGAAGAAAGAAAGGCAAGCCATTAAATCATAGAGGAAAAAGGATTTGGGCAAACTTACATAGAAATTAGCAGAACCCAGATTTGCCTACTGGAACAAGTGCTTCCTTTAGGTCAAAGATTTTTTTTTTATGTTGTTTTTTTTATCTAATTATAATAAAGAATGTGTCATCTATTAAATCACATTCTCTTGAGTTTCCTCTTATTTCATAGGTCACCCATCTCACTGCCTTTGCTGCAACCTCCTCATCTCCTAGACCTCTAATGTTGGAGGACCCGAGGGCTCAGTTCTTGAATGATTTCTCTATATACATTCACTTGCTAGGAAATCTAATTCAGTTTTATGGCTTTAAATACCATTTATATGCTGATGATTCTCAAGTTTATATGTCTAGCCCCAACCTTTTACCTGAACTTCTGACACATACGTGAAACTGCCAGGTTAATGTCTCTAATTGGATACCTATTGGCATCTGAAGCTCAACATGCTCCAAATGAAATTAATAGTTACTTTATACCCCAAACCTATTCTTGCCCTAGTCTTTTCTACTTCTAGAAAATTGCACTGTGATTCATTTTCACTAATCAGACCCAAATCTGTAAGTCAGCATTGATTTCTTTCTTTCAAACCACATATCTAAATCACACTCAAATCATGTCAGTTCTACCTTAAAGTTTAATTCCAAATTAAACCATTTCTTTCCACCTCCACTGCTACCACCTTGTCCACATTGCCTGGACTATTGCAAAAGCCTCTTAACTGGACTCCTTGCTTCTCTTCATTCCTACCTATAGACAGTTCTCCACTCAGCAGCCAGAGTGATCTTAAACAGAAAATCAAGTCATGTCATTCCAATGTTCTAAACTTCCAACAGTTTAACATCTCACTCAGAATGACATCAAAGTGTTTTACCATAGTCACAAGGCCCAAGATCTAATTCCTAGCTTGCTCTGAATGTATTTTCTACCTCTTCGTACCTTACTTACTCTTGTCATACTGTCCCTCTTGCTCTTCTTTATTACACCATCACTTCCTCAAGGTCTTTGTACTTTCCAGGATCTTGACAGTCCAGTCAAGACAAGTAAGATAACCTTGAGGACAGGTAGAGTGTATTATTTATCTTTCCTTCTCTAACACCTGACTCAGTGAATGGCATATAGTAGAACTCAAAGATGTATGTGGATAAACAATAGCTTTCTTCAAAAACTTTGAGGCTTTAGCTAACCATACAGTTAGAATATAAGCCTACATTGTGATGTAGTTTCCAAAACATCTAATGTTACCTTAAGCTGCATTAACAGAAGTGCATTGTTTAGAGAAAGGCAGGTGCTAGTTCTTCTGGTCAGACCACTTCTGGAGTGTTGTATTTGTCCCCAGATATGACATATTATGATATCTTAATCTTGATTGCTGTATTTCAGGTAAAAGATATTTTTCATAAGAGAGAAATCAGGATGGTGAAAGGACAGAACTATGCCTTTTGAGGAACCATTACAGGAACTGAGAATCTTTAGCTTGATGAATTCTTGATGACTGAGGAAGAGCCATAAAAGCTCTCCCCAAATAGCTAAAAGTTTACCACATGAAAAAGGGGCTTATTCTTGTTAGCTACAGAAGAAAGAAACAATGGTAGGAGGTTTCAGAAAGGAAGCTCTTAGTTCAGCATAAGGAAGAATTGCCTAACAGTTTTTCCCAAACCAGTGGCTTTTTTTGCTTTTTGGTTTTTTTTTTCATCCTCATAATTCAACTTGACCAAAACCAGTGTTCTGCAGTACACTATACCATGTTAGGATACACAAAGTGTCTTGTGTCTTTACTGTAGGATATCTTAGAGTCTTTAATATGCAAATGTTAAGAAGAGGATACAGTATGCCTCATTTCCCAAACTTATTTGTCTATAGACACTTTTATTCACAGATCAAAGTTAACATCTCTTGAAACAATATTCATAGAACAGTTTGGGTTAAATCTACTTAAAAATGAACATGCTGTCTTCTAAAGAAGTAGGGTCAGGTTCACATCTGGGTGGTTTTGTTGCCATTCTGTATTTCTGAAACCTTGATCATTAAAACTAAAGTATACAAAGTGTAAGTAACTGGAGAGAATTCTTTTACCTGCTACATTGACAATGAGACTCAACACTGTTCTAGATGAAAATAATGGAGTAAAACCAATAGAAATGAGGCCCTCTAGTAGAGTGATTCTGAACTTTTCCCCCCTAGCAACACACTTCACAGTCGTGATATTCTCATGTGTCTCTCTTGACTCATTCATTGTGAGCAAGGTGATACTTCTCAACTTTTTTCATTAACACACACCCACACACACACACCCCTCATGCTCTACCATCCCCCCACCACACACAGATTTTGATAGGATTGTCATGCAGGACCATGCCCCTGTATTTGAGTATCGCCATTTTAGAACTTCAAACGTAGAGTACAAATAAACAGGGAATTTCCAGGCTTAAAGGAAGAAATGGCATTTAAAAATTATGGCAAGGGCCGGCCCGTGGCTCACTCGGTAGAGTGCGGTGCTGATAACACCAAGGCCCCGGGTTCGGATCCCACATAGCGATGGCCGGTTCGCTCACTGGCTGAGCGTGGTGCTGACAACACCAAGTCAAGGGTTAAGATCCCCTTACCGGTCATCTTTTAAAAAAAATAAAAAATAAAAAAAATAAAAATTATGGCAAAAGTAAGCCAGGAAAAATCACCAAAACAGAATCACTATTTTGAGGCTAAATGGGATATTTAAAAAGGAAGTTGAATTTATAAAAACATTGTTATTATGGAAGGTTTGCTGCAATAAGCAAGACAAGATGTAATAATAAGAGAAAGCAAGTTGTAACTAGTGTCTACACAACTGTCCACAGAAGGGCATAGTCCAGGGCCACAACTTCATAGTTCCTGAAAGGAATGTGTACCATAGAAGAATGAACAGCTCATCAGTATTTCTACAATTTATACCTGTTCCTCCAGCAGCATATTTACTAATGTCTACTATCTTTAATCTGGTTTCCAGGATCTACCAGTACTGACAAAGAAATGTTTGAATGAGGAGATAAAATACTGTAATAAACAGAAAGATATATCTTCTCCTGTGTGTTAATAAAATGGTATTCTGTCTCCTAACACCTGTATTGAAAAATGTACCAATGTCTTATCAAACCTGGATAGCTGACAGGCCAGCACCTAAACCAGACCACACCATACATACCAGTTCTTGAGGTCCTTGTGAATAGCACAATTACATTGCTTATAAAGAAACTTGATTCTGATAGCCTTACTGGCCAGCTGCCAAAAGCAAAGCAAAACAAAACAAAAACAAACAAAAAAACCCAAAAAGCAAACAAAAAAGCAACTTGAAATACCACTTCTCTGTAATTCTGCGATTTTGCCTCTAATTCAGCACCTTGAAAAGTGGAGTCAACAGTTCTAAATAGCAGAACCTGTAAAGGAATTCCCATATAACTCTGCAAACCCAGAGACTGAACTCTATTATACATTTGTATTTTCATGGCTACTTGGAGACACCAGGCCAGTTTTAGCAACACTATACTACATTTACTGCATTCACTGATAGGTGGGAAGACAGAGTTTCAGGAGCCTTGTTTAAAGATGTACTGGAAAGCCCAGTCCTAGAATTGACTCTATCATAGGAGAAAGCTGGAGGAAATCAGCTCAGATATGATGCTACCTCTCTCACTTAACCCTATAGGAGAAAAAAATGGTTGAAGATAGGTAATGGCTGAGATCAGGGCCAGGAATTATGATCATGGCAAAGTCCAGGGAGTCATTACAGCTTTGTCTTCTTGGTCTCTAGGTTGATCATGTTCCCTTGGATATGGAGAATCTGCTTATCTTCTGGACCCTGAATATCTTCCGGCCTTACAGGAACATAGTAGTAGCCCATGATGGAAAAGATCAGGCAGACCACCAGCAGGACGCAGGAAAACAAAATGAATTCAGCCCACTGCAGGGAGAAATAAATATAAGAGAAGAATATGGAGAAAGCTGAAACTAAAGGGATCTTGACAGAATGAGGATTGGGGAGCAGACTGACCTGAGATCACTGGTTTAGGCAGACTTGCTGGAAGAAGACTGGGTTCACTGGCCTCTCCTCACACAGACATATGGTGGTTATTATTGCTACTTATGTAGTATGTCTATTTTTCTGGCAAAGTCTGTATATCTAACCCGTCTTATTTCCCAGAACTGAATGGAGTATGTGAGAGGCAGAGAGATGAGGAGAAAGAGAGAAATTGGAGGGAAAACTTGGGGTTTTCCTGCTTCCCTCAGATCCATACCTGTACCAGGCCACTGAACTGCGCCACGACAAGCACGATGATGTTGCCAACTGCAACTGTCAATAACCAGGCTGCCTGGAGTACAGATTTCATGCTAGAGGGAGCCTAGGGAGGATACAAGTGTGAAAGTAAACAAACTCCCTACGCTGCTCTCACGCCCCATGCATCTATCTAGGAAACTTTTCCCATAAAAGCTTCCAGATTCAAACTTCCCCCACTAAGTTCAGCTATCACATTGATTCAGGGGGTGGTAATAATGTTAACAGCAAGAATAAAAAGGAGCCCTTAATTGGATATTTTAATTAATTATATCATATAATCATCATTACAACCTTAAGAGATAAGTTATATTAGTATTCTTATTTTATACATAAAGAAAAACATTAGAGAGATAATTCAGTTGCTCAAGATTATACAATAGGTCATGCAGCCAAAATTTGAACATGGGCAGTCTAACGCCACAGCCCTTAGTCTTAATCTTTAAGTATTCTTTCCTGCATCCCAAACAGTACAGACTCCTATGCTGCACTGTCATGATCCTGGGAGTCAAGATGACAGTGCAGGGTCATATATAAGGAATTCAAGCCAAAAAAGATGGAGGTCTCAATCAGGATCACATACTTATTTAAGGCAGTGCCAGAATTAAAATTCACCACTCTTCGGGCCGGCCCGGTGGCGCACTGCTACAGTGCGCCACTTGGGAGCGCAGCGGCGCTCCCACTTATTTAAGGCAGTGCCAGAATTAAAATTCACCACTCTCCGGGCCGGCCCGGTGGCGCACTGCTACAGTGCGCCGCTTGGGAGCGCGGCGGCGCTCCAAAAAAAAAACACTCTTCTAATCACCTGGCTTTGGGGACGAGAGCAACTTTAGTGTGGCCAGAGTAGTTGCTATGGTTTCTTCTATCAGAAATCTATTCCCTGTCTTTTGACTTCATAAGATACCAAACCCAGTTTTCCCATATTTAGCAGAAATGCCATTGGTCAGTACAAGTCTTCAAAATAGGCAAGCATGGAGGAATCTCAGATTATTTGAGCTGGAATGAATTCGAAAGCATTTAACCCAACCTCCTCATTTTACAGATGAGGAGTCTGAAGCCTAGAGAGTCGGGGCTTTCTCCAATATCTTATTTTCATTCATTTGATAAATATTTGCAATGTGTTACGCATACATCATTTAATCCCCACATCATCTTGGCTTGTAGGAGTTGTGCTAATTTTTTAGGTAAGAGAAAAATGGGACTACAAAGTCTTATGAGTTGTCTAAGCTATTAAATGACAGAACTTGACTTTAAACCCAGATGTTAAGACTCTCAGTCCAGGAGCTATTGCTTAATGGGTGCAGAGTTTATGTTTAGGATGCCAAAAAATGTTGGAAATATGTAGGGGTGATGGCTACATAATGCTGTGAATGTAATTAATTCCATGGAATTGTATGCTTGAAGAAAGCTAAAATGGCAAATCTTATGTTATATATATTTTACCAAGATTTTAAAAAAAAACTTTAAAATAATTTTTTTCAATTTTATTTTTTATTTATTTATTTTTGTCTTTTTCGTGACCGGTAAGGGGATCGCAACCCTTGGTGTGGTGTCGCCCGCACGGCGCTCAGCCAGTGAGCACACCAGCCATTCCTATATAGGATCTGAATCCGTGGCGGGAGCATCACTGCGCTCCCAGAGCCGCACTCTCCCGAGTGTGCCACAGGTCGGCCCTAAAATGAGTTATTTTCTTGGTAACTCTTACACTGAAGATTTTATTGATCAATTTTTTAAAAATCCATATCAAATACCACCCATTATTTTGAATTCTATTTACTGGTCATTATTTTTGAACACACATTTTACACATCTAAATTTTGTCAAAAAGACGCAATTTTTCTGTACAATTTTGGTCAACAAGAATTTTTTTCAGAGTCAATTTTTTGTTATTAATATGTGATTCTGCAAATAGGATGTTTTTGTCTAAAAGTGCTTTTATCATATGCACATTTTTAGCTATGGCTGGTTTTATGTAGATTGTGTCTACTAATATCTTTTATTATGAATGGAATAACATTGTAAAAATTATACATATTTCTTGAAGTAAAACTATGATTAGGTAATAGGAGAAATATATGGATCAAAATGAAATAAAAATAGCAAAGTTAAAACATCGAGGTCAAAAGTCCTTGAAATCAAAAGTCTTTGATGTCCGAATGCTCTTGATTCCCTGAGTCAAAAGGCCATTGGGTTCAAAATAGTAAGGTAAAGGAATCCTGCTTTGCTTTAGTTGACAGTGTGAACAATACCTGGGTATCTGTTTATAATCCCTCAGTATCACAGAAGACCATGATCAGAGTTTCTAAATCAAGGTCAGATACTTAAATGCCACAGGCAGGTAATCAAATAAATAAAACAGGCTGAATGGGAATGATGAGGACTATGGTCTAGACAGCATAGGTCCCATCAAAAGGGCACAGCCACTACAGCACAAGCTAAATGACACAGTAATACCTGTTATGGAATTCTGATTTTTTTCCCAAGAAATGTTAGTAATCCAATTTCTTAAGTGAAATCTCTATAATTTACATATTGGCAATTTATTATTCCATTATTTTTTTTCAACACTAGGCAGGCCAAACAAGACAGGACTATGGAAGGAACTTGGTCTCTAGACCCCAAATTTATGACCTCTACTCTAGAAGATTATTAGATCCTAGTATTCAGAAACAATATATATGATCTTTGCCTTGAGCAGCATATGAGAGACAGAACAACAACAACAAAATAATGGAATGCAAGTGTTGTGGTTGAATTGTGTACCCCAGAACTCATATGCCAAAGTCCTAACACCAATACCTCAAAACGTGAACTTAGGGCCGGCCCGGTGGCGCACTGCTACAGTGCACCGCTTGGGAGTGCGGCGGCGCTCCCGCCGAGGGTTCGGATCCCACATACAGACCGGTTCCCGCTCACTGGCTGAGCGAGGTGCGGGCGCAGCACCGAGGGTTGCGATCCCGTTGCCGGTCCCGGTCTGGTACGGGCGCGACACTGAGGGTTGCGATCCATTGCCGGACACGAAAAAAGACAAAAAAAAAAAAACGTGAACTTATCTGAAAATAGGGTCATTGTAGATGTAATTAGGCAAGTTAAAATGAAGTTATTAGGGTTGGCCTAATCCAATATGACAGGTATCCTTATTTTAAAAAGGGGGACATTTGGACACAGACAGGAATGTGAAGATGAGGGCAGTCATTGAGGTGATTCTTCTACTCACCAAGGAATACCAAATATTCCAACAAACCACAAGGAACTATGGGAGAGGCAAGGAACAGATTCTTCCTCACAATCCTTAAGAAGGAACCAACCCTACCAATGCCTTGATCTCAGACTTCTAGCCTTCATAACTGTGAGACAATAAATATCTGCTTTGTAAGCCACTTAGCCTGTGGTACTTTGTTACAGCAGCCCTAAAATATCAATAGGGCTAGGCTGGTTTAATATCTGAAAATCTATTAATGTAATATACCATATCAATAGAATGAAGGACAAAACCCACATCATCTCAATAAACACAGAAAAAGCATTTGACAAAATTCAACTTCTGCTCATGGTAAAACAAACAAAAAATACCTCAACAAGCTAGAATAGAAGGAAACTTCTTCAATCTGATAAAGGGTATCTATGAAAAACCGACAGGTAATCTGCTTGATGAGAAAAGACTGAATGCTCCCCCCCAGAGGATATCTGCTCTCTCCACTTATATTCAACATTGTACTAGAGCTTCAAGCCAGAGCAATTAGGCAAGGAAAAAAAACAAAAGGCATCCAGATTGAAAGGAAGAAATAAAGCAATCTCTATTTGCAGATGACATGATCTTGTATGTAGCAAGTCTAAGGAATCCGCTAAAAAACTAATAAATTATTTTTATTATAATTTATTATTAGAACCAATAAATGAGTTTAATAAGGCTGCAGCATACAAGATCAATATACAAAAATCAATTGTATTTCTATAACTTGCAATGAGTAATCTGAAAATAAAATTAAGAACATGATTCCATTAAAAACAGCTTCAAAAAAAAATACTTAGGAATAAATTTAACAAAATGAATGTAAAACGTATACTCTGAAAACTACAAAACATTGTTGAAAAAAATTAAAGAAGACTTAAATAAATAGAATGACAGTGAGTGTTCACTGATCAAACTTAACATTGTTAATATGGCAATACTCCCCAAAATGATCTTCAGATTTAATGCAATCCTTATCAAAATCCCAGCTGGCTTCTTATCCTAAGCTGATCCAAAAATTCATATAGAAATTCATGGGAACCAGAATAGCCAAATCAATCTTGAAAAAGAATAAGGTTGGAGACTCACACTTTCTTAACTCGAAATTTACCACCAAGAACAATAATCAAGACTCTGGTACTGGCACAACAACAGACATACAGATCAATGGAATAGAATTAAAAGTCCAGAAAGAAGCCATCACATTTATTTATGGTCAATTGATTTTTGACAAGAGTTCCAAGACTGTTTAATGGGGGGAAAGAATAGCCTTTTCAATGAATTGTGCTGGGACAACTGGATATACACATACAAAAGAATGAAGTTGAACTCCCTAACTCACACCATATACAAAAAATAACTCAAAATGGATTAAAGACCTAAATGTTAAGAGCTAAAACTATAAAACTCTTAGAAGAAAACATAAGCATAAATCCTTGTGACCTTGGATTAGGCAATGGTTTCTTAGATATGACACCAAAAGCACAATCAACCAAAAAAAATAAATTAAATAAAATAGATAAATTGAACTACATCAAAATTGAAAACTTTTGTGCTTCAACAGACACCAACAAGAACGTTAAAAGACAATCCATTGAATGGGAGAATTTGCAAATTGTATATCTGATAACAGACATTTCTAAAATATACATGGAATATTTACAACTCAATAATAAACAGACAAGTAATCCAATTGGATACTGGGTAAAGGTTTGAAATAGATACTTCTCCAAAGAAGATATACAAATGGTTGATAAGTGCATGAAAAGATGCTCAACATCATTAGCCATCAGGGACATGCAAATAAAAAACACAATGAAGATACTGTTTCATACCCACCAGAATGGCTAGAATCAAAAAGACAGAAAACAACAAGTATTGGTGATGTTGTAGAGAAATTGCAACCCTATTAGAGGAAATGTAAAATGGTACAGTTGCTTTGGATAAGTTTGGCAGTTCCACAAATGTTTAAACATAGTTACCATGTGACCCAGCAACTCCAGTCCTATGTATATACCCAAAAGAAATAAAGACATATATTCATATAAAAACTTGTATATGAATGTTTATAGCAGCATTATTTATAATAGTCAAAATGTGGAAACAACCCAAATGTATATCAACTGATGAATAAATAAAAAAAATGTATTTTATTCATACAATGAAATATGACTTGGCAATAGAAAGAAATGAAGTGCTAATACAAGGATGAGCCTTGAAGAACATGCTGAGTGAAAGAAGCCAGACACAAAAGGCCACATATTGTATGATTCCATTTATATGAAATATCCTGAATAGAAAAGAATAGAATAATTTATAAGCAGAAAGTAGACTAGCAGTTGCCTAGGAGTACTGGCTTGGGAGAAAATGGGGAGTGACTACTAATGGGTATGGAATTTCTTGTTTGGGTGATGAAAAATGTTCCAAAATTACACAGTTCTGTGACTATACTAAAATCACTGAAGCTGGCCAGTTAGCTCCCTTGGGAGAGCATGGTGCGCTAATGGGTATGGAATTTCTTGTTTGGGTGATGAAAAATGTTCCAAAATTACACAATTCTGTGACTATACTAAAATCACTGAAGCTGGCCAGTTAGCTCCCTTGGGAGAGCATGGTGCTAATAACACCAAGGTCATGGTTTCGGATCCCCATACTGGCCAGCTGCCAAAACAAACAAACAAAAAGCCATTGAATACATATTATTGAATATATATTCTTTCTCTATATATATTTAGTACATAACAATATATTCAATATAGTAATACTGGTATATTAAAAACCATTAATCTTGGGGCCGGCCCGGTGGCGCACTGCTATAGTGCGCCGCTTGGGAAGCGCAGTGGCGCTCGTTAATCTTTAAATGGTTTAAATTGTATGGTATATGAATTATGTCTCAATAAAGCTGTTATAAAAATGGCACACCAAAAGGAGCAAGTTAAACAAATTAATTAATTAGTAAAGTAAATAAAATTTAATAGATTCTATAGGTACCACACCTATAGAAAAGTTCACTCTATTTTGTATTCACTACATTTTTATCTTTAGTACAGAATCAAAAGTAATGAAATAAAATTAAAGGCAAGATTGACATCAAAATTAAAATTCAGAGGTACCAGTGAAACTGAGAGCATAAACTCTGATTACTGAGACAATTGCTTTTGATGGACCACAGTTTGGACCCCAAAACTTTGTGTAGAGATTGACACTTACTACCAGTCTGGGTATTTCAGACTGTGACATGCTGGTAGATCAAATTTCCGGGGAACTGGGAGATTTGCATATAGAGTCAAACAAGAAGACATAAGTAATTTTGCATAAATAATCTTTGTTTTCTTGAGGCCATAATGAGATTGGAGCAGACTGTGCCATCTCATAGTGAGGACTCAAGATAAATTACGTTTCCCATTCCCCAAGACCCACTGCCTGCTGCTGATGTTGTCTCTTTTAATATACCTGTGGTGACAGTGGGCTTTCTAAAATCACTGTAGAGTTTGTCACCTCACAAGAGGAGTAAGTATGTGATCCTGTCTTGCCACAGGATCTCTTTTGTCCTTTGTGCCTGCCAAGAAGATCTCAGGATGTATATACATATATGTGTAGGGGGTGGGGAGGATATGGCCGTGAGCTACGTACCTTAGTAATAATGAACAGATATGCTGCACCGAAGTCTAGTAGACCCAAATTCAGGAAAAAGTCTTCATCTTCTGTTCTAAAATGCACTGCAGGGTATCTGGAACAGAATGAGTTTAGGTTAGAATAAATGCCACAGTTTAGAAAAGCACTCCCATCTCCAGGAAAAAAAATAATCTTGTCTCTCTGCTGATGATGAGGAAAGCAATGAAACAACCATTTCTCTTTGCAGAGAGACAATGCTAGGAGTGAATTAATTTAATGCTAGGTTTCTTCCCCTAATTGGAGCTCTTTATTGCCTGTCAGGTTTGTTTTTTTGTTTTTAAATCTTTTTTTTTTTTCCTTTTTGTCTTTTTTCGTGTCCGGCAATGGATCGCAACCCTCAGTGTCGCGCCCGTACCGGACCGGGACCAGCAACGGGATGGCAACCCTTGGTGTTGCGCCCGCACCTCGCTCAGCCAGTGAGCGGGAACCGGTCTGTATGTGGGATCCAAACCCTCGGTGGGAGCGCCGCCGCGCTCCCAAGCGGTGCACTGTAGCAGTGCGCCACCGGGCCGGCCCTTGTTTTTAAATCTTAAACCTGAATAATGAAGGCACAAATCGTTGGTGGACTCCAGGCCCAGGTGAATTTTTGTCACGCAAATCTTATGACTTTGTGGAACAGCATAAAACAGTGAAACTGAGACGATAAACTCTAAGTAATGAGGTGCCAAGGGAAGGTGCCAAAGGGTAGTAGCAGGAACCGACAATAAAGTTTGTGAACCTCACAGAGATGGGCCATGTTAACTATACAGTATGACCATCACAGGAATCATGATCTCAATATACATGTGCAGAAAAAGATGAGACTGAGGGAAGAAGAAAGAGTTGGAAAAAAGCAAGAGTCTGTCTATCCTCAAAATTAGCCCAGATGTACCTGAGGTCCCCACTTATACACAACAATAACATTTAAATAAAAAATTCTTGATAAAAGTAAAATGTCCACAGGGCAACGCTCTTACTCTCCTCTTTGCACATTTCTGTAAGCAGACACAACATAGTCTTCACCAACATTGAAGGAGATATCTGTACCCAGAGAGATGTTCACACCTTTATGCAAAGTGTTAACAAACCTGAGAATAGAGAAATTATTACATATCAGACAAACACATCCAAATAGGGACATCTAATAAAAGAGGGTAGGAGCCTTTTCTGTTTTGTTTATTTACTATATCCTCAGTGCCTAGAATAGTGGCTGGCACATAAAAGGTACATTTGATATATATTGTTAACTGGACAAATGAATGAACTCACATGTAAGATGTAATCGATTGTCTTGGCTGTCCCCAACTTTCTTCTTCCTGAAGTATTACCTTTTTATCCATCACATCCTCACCAGATCTCCAGTGGGGTGAACACTATCATGATCACCTATGGTAATCAGAGTTTGTTCACTAATTCAGCTCAGGTGCATCTAATTTCTTTCCCTCAAACTGAGACTTTATTAAGAAAAATAAGACAATTATGTATATATAAAGATATAATAGTATCTACATAAAACTGATATCCTCTTATAAATGAAGTCTGATTTGACTTATGCAAAACTCAGATTCCCAACCCACAGTAGTCTGTTATCATTGTTTTGGGGACTGCAGGAATCTTGGACCCTTCCAGAATCATCTTTCTAGTCTTCTGAACCTGGGCCCCTAGACTGTCCCCTCAGGATGGGTTTTTGGTACATTTCTATTTTGATAGCTTTTGCCTTGGTCTCTGGCCCAAAGGACAAGAAAGGCAGTTCCCTCTAGAATTCTGAATGTTGATTCCTGGACTTTAGATCATCCTGCACTGACCTTCTAGAGGCCTATGGCTCTCTGGTGTAACTGTTGTCATTTATTTTTAGCTATTTGCTTTTTCTAAAGTATATTCAAAGGCAAGTTATTATGGCTGTTCTACCTTTCAGTGAAATTCAGACTTTTCATTAAAAGTTCTTCTCTAAAATGCTTTCTCAATAGCAACCACCTGATTGTGGTGGCCATAGGCAGGTGCATCTGTCTATTTCATGTCTAATTCCTTCCACAAAGAGCTGGTGACCTCTTTGGTGCTCCAATTCTGTAACTACCCTCGTGGTCTAACAAGACCTTCAGCCTTATCTGTATCCAAAACCAAGTCTTTTGACTCCAAACGTGTACTTCACAATGATGCTTCTATGGGTTTTTAATAAAAACTGTACTTTAAAAGATAAATATCCAATTACCAACAACGAAGGGAGGATTATTTCCCTCTGGTGATCACAGAGAGGAATGTACTCAGTTATTTTCCTGAGAGCAAGATAAATGAATAAAATTTAGCCCAAGGAATTTATGCACTACAGCACAGGGGGCATACATGGATACAGGGTCGTCTTTGAATCCCACATGAGAAAGCAAACCTATCTGCCTTTCACTGTCCTGGAAAATGCCTTATGACTCCAGTGCCCTGATATTCTAGGAGACAGAATTCCTGTCCAGAACAAGTAGAATAGGAGGCTTCTTCATGTGGGGCCCCAAAGATCAGAAGAGATCCAAGATTCAAGAGAACAAAGTGGCCTGGGGTCTCCTTGACATCCAAACCTTATGGTTGTCATCCCATTGGTTGTTCTGTTTTCTACATCCTTTACCTACAAGAGAGGAAAGTAAAAATCAGTAACAGCTGACAAAAGGGAACCTATAATCAGAAAATTTGACCATCAGGCAGATCCTTGGTAAGACATTGATGAGCCAGTCATCTTATTTTGAGATGACAACTTGGAATGGTCAACTTACCATTATGCTGGAGATACTTTTTCCATCCTCACGAATGATCAGACTGTACCAGTTCTTCTCCTCCACAGAATGCTCAGTGTACACAGACAAATTTTGATATTTCAGGTGGAAGTGTAAATCCTGGCTTTTTGTTTTTAAGTGCAGTTTGGAATAGTGTGGAGTTTTCTGTAGGATGAAGACAAGTCCAATCACCTTCTACCCCATCTTGGACATCACGATCTCATAGCATCTAAGGGTGGGTGACCTCATCAGATACTTTCAACCCAGCAATTCCTTTTCTTTAACCTAGTAATTCCACTTCAAGGAATCTACCATAGGAAATAATTACTGTCATGCATAAAGATTTATGAGTAAGGTTATTCATTATAGGATTATGTATGATAATTAAAAACTTAAATTCCTATAAGGAAATGTTCAAATAAACTATGATGTATCTATAGGATGGAATATTTGTACCTATTAAAACCATGTTCTCAAAGATTATCTGAGGACATGGGAAGATGTTTATGATATAATTTATGTTAAGAAAAAATCAAGGTCAATACGGCATATAGAGTTTCTAATTCATTCAGGCCCATACCTCACCTGAAAGGATTTAATGGACTCTACCAGCAGAGAATTGTTTTCATTTCCCAGCACTATCACCTTCACCTCATCATCTGCCAGATTCAAGACTTGCAGAAAAACTTCTTGGGGACCTGGCTGGGGTGGGGCCATTCCCTTAGGACAGAGAACACACGTCAAAACCACCAACAAATACCCCTTCAGATACAATGAGAACACATTTCTCAGTCCTGTCTCTGACAGCCTAGCTTATCTAGCCAAGAGGACACAGTTTACTTCCTCTGAAGAATATTTGGCATAGAAAACACTGAAGGCACTTTGGAGGGAGAAACACCAACTCAATGCGGCAAGCACCAGTGTGTGTTTTTGATTCAGCTGTGGCCTCATACTTCATTCCTGATAATGGCTATTCAATCTGCCAAAGGTATTTGTTTGAGTATCTAGAATGGCATCATACAAACCTGTGTTCCCTAAAGAGACAGCTAGATATCTTGTATATTAGTGTTTGGGAACTCTCTGAAAATACACTTTGAATCACTCAGGTCGGAGGTGGGCCTCACTTCACATTGTTGGTTTACCCCTGTATCTACTCATTTATCACAAATAACTTATTATGCATCTCCTGTAAAACAGGTACTGTGCAGGTTGCAGGGAATCAAGTTTGAACATATCAGAAGAGTGAACAAGACAGATATGATATGGTCTTGCCCTCGTGGAGCTTAAGATTTATTGAACTCACATTTATTTTTATCTCTACAGCTGCCGCAGCTGCAAATGCCAGGCATGCTAGGATCATACCAACAGCCATTTTCCTAAGTGAGCTGCAGATGAAAGGGAGAGACAATTACTCATATATCTAAACTTTAGACTCTAAAGATAAAATCCAGACTTCTTAGCCTACTATCAAGACCTTTCTTGATTTGGTCCCAACTACTTTTGAAAGTATTTCCTAGAACTCCCCTTCACACATCCTTCTTTCTCATTTTACTTGAGTCACATTGAACTGCTCTTCTCTGTAATGCACCACATTTTCCCACTTCTACCTTTACTTACAATGGTTTTTCTATCCATTATGTCATAATGTGAAAAATAACAGCATTTGGATCCCCATACTGCCCAGCCACCAAAAAAAAAAAAAAAATTTCTAAAAAATAATAGCAACACAACCAGATTTATTAAACATTTACCATATGCCAGGCACCATACATATTTTTACCTCATTTTCTCTTCAGACGTCTTTGTTCACCCTGGCAGTAGGAAAGACTCTCTACCTTCTATACATTTCCTTGGCATTTCAATTTTTCCATCCTAGGGTACTTAACATATTTTATCTGTGTAGTAGTTATCCTTGCATATGCTCTAGCTCCTTCCTAAACAGTAAATTCCTTGAGGGAAAGATTTGTGCTTGATTTACATTTGCATGGCATTGGTCCTGAACTCCCTAATATTGTCTCAATGAATGAGTAAATGACAAAAGGCCATTTGAATATAATAAAGTAGTCGTCAAAACAAAATTGCTATTAAATCAAAAATGAAAGGAGGATTGAAAACCTCCTTTACCAAATTTTACAAAGAATAACACCTCTATTAGAATAGGAGAAAAGTAGTAATTAGGAACAATTCTATCCCCAAACCTACCAGGTCCCGCATTTGTTTCATAGGAACAACAGGCGATATAAAGGAATTAGTTGTCATAAAAGGCTCTGGACTTCTCTGAAGAGGCAATATTCAAGAACAAAGCAGCAAGCTGGTTTACGAGCCTAATCTCACATACTTTTGACTTTCCATGAAGCCTAGACCTACCCCTTCAACATCACAGGTCAAGTCCACAGTAATGGTTTGAACGCGCATTAGTTAGATCTAATTCACTTTTCCAATATTAATAGGCACTTAGTCTAACATGGAAAAATAGAAGCAGATAAATGAAAAATCAAAATGAATTATCATTAAGTAGAAAAATACTGACATTGAATCTTTATTGGACAAAGATTGAGTTTGGAGTAATACAGGCATAGTGAGCACTTACGAGAAGTTAATTCCACACTTGGAGACCAGACGGTAAATGACAAGGTCAAACAACGGGATGAAGATAAGTACCAGAAAGGGATTTATTACCTGTAACACCATGGTAAAAAAGGATTAGCTACAAGTGTTTTTCTATCATGAGTGTAAGCATGTGTTTTCATTTGCTTGTGTGCACTCTCTCACATCTACACACTTTCATCATAGTGAACACAAAATTGATTCCACATTTCTCAGTCCCTTTACATCCAGGACTCTATTTCCCTTGCATAGCACCTTAGCTTCCAAATATCCCAAGAGACCAGTTTCACTCTGAGCCTGTTTCTCTGCCAATCATATCAGGAGCTCTTGCCTCCCATTTTCATGTATCTTCTCCAGCTCCACAGCCCAAGGAGAAAATGTCATGGCCAGAGTAAAAGGAAGGAGAGAAGGAAGAACTGGGCATTGTTGAACAAGGGGTTAAAAAAAAAAAGAACTGTGAGGGTACAATAAACAGAGATTCTGACCTCATTGCTCATACAACAAGGCCTTATACTTTCTTTGACAATATTTCCAATTACACTACCTTGACATGGAAAAAAACCCCAATGCTTATACTTTACTTATTGGCTCAAAATTCACTCTCCCTGGTGTTGGATAAGAGCTGCTTATTTAATAGGGAAAGTGAATGAGAAGCGTGGAGCTTAAAGAGATGTTTTCATCTCTATGCTTGGCTCTCCTCAGCATACAAGGAAAAAAACCCCATCAAATTATGGTTGTTAATTGTAATACTTCAGGTAGTGGTATAGATGAGAAAAGAAATGTCTCCATGTCTATAGAGAAGTCTCCTACCTGCATTTGGTCGGGTTGAAGCACAAAAAAACCCTGAAACATTATAACAAATTATATTTAGATGGTTGCTGAAGACAAGAAAAGCGTAGATGTACAATCTTGCTAATTAGCAGGTAAGAAGCATATAAAGAGAAAACTCATCAGGTCTTTGGTTCAGGGCCACTATCTTGCCTGTGAGGGTATTTGGGGTGGGGACAGAGGTGGGATAGCTTCTGGGTCTGCCTGCTGAAGGCAGATGGGCCTAAGGGAAAATATTCTTTTCTGTGTACTATGCTTTCCTTAAGTCTAGTGTAATTTTATTAATCGCAGCAACTGCAGTTGTAGGTGGTAATAACATGAAGGACAAGACACTGTGGTTAGGGTAGACTCTCACTGACACATATTACTTCCAAAGTTGTTCTCCAAAGGGTCAATAAGAGGATCACCATGGTAAACCCTGGAAAACTAGAGGAAGGGAGAAGGTAAAATTATATTTGGCAGGCTTCAAATAGGCGGAATAATATAACTCTGGTATTGTTCCACCCTGTCTTCTTCAGAACTGAGAAGGTAGAAAAATAGTACAATAATCTAGGTTGTGGAACAATTGAGAGCAGTAATGCTACCTTATTTGAGCGAACTAATTAATGGAGATTGGAAAAGAGAAAATAATGTATACATCCTTCCCATTCTTTCCATATCCATGAACAAACTATTCCATTTCCCACAGATTCCCTACTGTGATCCCTGCCTGAGATATGGGACCAGCTGTGTAGTACCACCAATCCAACCTATCCCTGCTGTGCCTGAGGATGAGCTTAGATAGAAGAAAATCACTATCCCAGGTCTGTATCACCTCATTTGCTATCCTCTCAACACTTATTTGTATACATTTAAACCTTTCCCATACCTATGTTCCTGTTTTCCAAAGATAAGATTCTGGTTTTTATTTCCAGACTACCTTTCTTTATCTTTGCCTACTCAGTACCTTAAAGCTAAAAGCACCTCTCTAATAATCTTAAGTCAGGCAAAAACACAAAGAAATTAATTTTTCCAGGGCTGGCTGGTTAGCTCAGGTGGTTAGAGCATGGTGCTGATAATGCCATGGTCCAGGGTTCAATACCTATACCAGCCAGCCACCAAAATGGAAAAAAAAAATTAATTTTTCCTCAATATGGATGAAGAAGAGAATGGACTTCTCTGGAAAATCTTCTACTCACCAAATTCCCATTCATCCTGGTGGCCTGCAAAGTCCACCGTGAGCCCTAGGGCAAATGGATGGTATTATGAGAAATCCTCTTCCTGTGAGAAGGAAGTGTCTAGAAGAAAGGATAGCTTTCCAAAGAACTATTCTTACCTGCTGATCCATAAGAGCCCAGAACATGGGTAATGGGATATAAAGGAACAGTACCCTGGTCAGTGCCTTCACATCCATAATGAGCTGCTTCTGCAAGGAGGAAGAAAGAACAGGCAGAGTTGCCAGAAGTTGCACACATGGTTTTCTTGCTTAGAGTAGGAGTGCCCAAGACAGTAAGAGGAGAGGTCAAATGCAGCAGGCACAAATCAGTTTGAACATTAGGAAAGATTCCAGGGGACCACAAAATGTTTCTGCAGTTCCAACTTACTGGGTATCTCTCAGCTGCCCAGTCCAGCCAGTGCTGTCGCTTTGGAATGTCTGAAGAACGGTTCTTAAAACGGTTGAAAATAGCAAACTAGGGCAGAGCATAGATATCAGGAGAGAAAGAGCAACCATTCCATGCCTTTTCCAATTCATTATCCCTTCCTTTAAACACACATACTTTTAGTGACTTACTCCATCACTTTGATCTCATCAGAAATTGAATTTCAGAATATTTCAGATACAATTTTATATATCCTTATTTCCTGTTGGCATCATATATAAACTATACTTCAGAAGATTTTTTGCCAATTCCTAAAAATGGTTACATTTTTAAAAACCTAATGGTTAAGTAAAGGCACAAAGGAAGACCGATTAATGTGAGCTTGTCAAAAGACATGGAAGTAGAACAGAGGTCATGGAGAAAAATGTATACCCATGTTCAAAGGCCCTTATTCTTAGCATAGCATCTCTTTCCTTTTCATTGAATAAGGCAGGTAAACAATTTACGGACTTACCCAGATACATCTGACAACTTGAGCCACTATGTTTCCTTGAGGAGGTGTTTTTTTGTACATTTTGCTTCCCATTGCAAACACAACTGCAGTTGATACACAAACAAAGTTCTTAGCTTCTCGTTTAGCACATTCAATATGTCAGTGCTAAGGACAGACTGCTGAACTGTGGGAGTTACTGGCAAATCTCATAAGGAGGAAATGGACTTACATTTCCCGACTCTGGAGTTATAAAAATTACTCGAGCCATAGTCAACAGTTAAGAGAGATATCTGTTGAGAATTTCACATCATCACAGAAAAAGAAGTCATCTTTGACTTCTCACTCTTCTTTCTTCATCTCCATATCTGATATGTTACCAACTTTCATAGATCCCTTTTCTTCAATGTATGGCCCATCTGCCCCCTCTTTACATTATGACTGCCACCACTCTTCTTCAGGAGTTCACAACTCCTATTCTGGATTACCAAAATGGCCACCAACTAGTTTCTCACGCCTTATTCTCTTCCTTCTCTAATCTGATGCCAAATTTTTCTTTCCAGGATCTACTTAATAAGTCCAAACACCTGGCATGAAAGGTCTTCCTCAGTTCATTATCCTGATGGTTATTGTTATCACTACCATCTATTGAAGATTTATTATTATATTAAAGGCTAAGCATTTCACATACATTAACTGATTTATTTTTATTTTGTTTTGTTTTGTTTTGTTTTTTGTGGCTAGCCAGTACGGGGATCCGAACACATGACACTGGTATTATAAGGCTGCACTCTAACCAATACGTTAACTGATTTAGCCTGACAAAATATGTACTATCTCCATTTTACCCATAAGGAAATTGAAGGTTAAAAGACTTAGGCAACTTGTAAAAGGTTACACAGCTATAAAGTACCAGAAACTGCATTTTTGACCATCACACACTATACTAGATACTATTGGGAATACAGGTGAAAAAGACAAAGTCCCTGTCCTTAAAGGAGCTCACCTCAAACTACCGTTTTGCGCTGTATGTTTAATTACTCTTTGTTAGATATGCTCTAACCACTATGCCTCATTCCTACAAAAAATTCTATTCTGTTCTATTTCTGTTCTTGAGCTTTCTGTTTCCCTTAACCCAGATCTTTATCCTTTAACCACATCTCTACAGGTAATTATAGGTGAATTTTATTTTCTTATTTTTTTTCCAAATTACTAGCAATAAGCTGGTATTACTTTTATAAATATAGAATAGTGTTATGTTTTTTCAAGTTTTTAAAGTTTAATTAAAATCAACAGAATGACTCCATGTTGGTACCCTCCCAGATGTATTTTCCTCCTTAATAGATTTCCCAGTTCCAGCAAGATGCTCCTCTAGTAGATTCTCAGCTAAAGTTGCCTTTCAAAGTGACCAGTTAGAATTTTCCAGTATCCATACACACAAGAATGCATGAATCACCTTACTCTTCTTTCCCTTAAGTTTCTAATGGATCCATTACTCTCAGACTCACTCCACCACTTTTTCTTTATTCATCCTCCTAGTTTCCCCAAAGCTTCTCCAAACAGCACCCTTTACCTACAACAACCCTCTCACTGTTGATAAAAATAATAGTTCAGAAAAAGAATGTTAATCCTGGGAGTCAATTGGGCAGATAAGGAGTTATCTAGATAAGAGGAAGGTTTTGGATGGGAAATAAACTGCTCCTGAAACTAAGAATGATTCTAGAAAGAAGTGGCTGGACACCTCAGGAATGCTGGTTGCAATAGTGAAAGTAGAGTGGTAAAAGAATGGCTATGCAATCAACTCACAAGGCCACACTTAAATTTCAAGACCACCTAGCTAAAGAAGATGAGCAGGAACTTGAGTTTCCCTACTATCTTCTCCCTCTAGTAGATGATGCTGCCTCTTACTTCACAAACAAAATAAAAGCCTTCAAGTGGAAATTCCCTCAACTTCCTGCCACCAAATCTATTAATTCCTGTATCCACAACCATCCTCTCCTCCCTAAAGTGAAGGTGATGTTCCGCCTCTTGTCCATAGCTAATTCTTCCATGTGTGTTTTCATATTGATTAAACTGTCTTTATATTACATCTTCAACCTCTTTCTCTACTGGATTCTTCCTAATAATATTCGAGCATGCTCAATATCCTCTCTTAAATCCATGTCACCTTCCAGCTATAAAAACTTACTGTTTTGGGGCCGGCCTGGTGGCGCACTGCTGTAGTGCGCTGCTTGGGAAGCGCGGTGGCGCTCCCGCCGAGGGTTTGGATCCCACATGCAGAACGGCTGCTCACTGGCTGAGCGGGGGGCGGGAGCAACACCGAGGGTTGCGATCCCGTGGCCGGTCCCGGTCCGGTACGGGCGCAACACTGAGGGTTGCGATCTGTTGCCGGTCATGAAAAAAAAAAAGACAAAAAAAGAAAAGGAAAAAAAAAACTTACTGTTTTACTTTCTTACCTCTTATTCACTTTCCAATCTACTCAAAAAGACAAAAAAAAAAAAGGAAAAAAAAAACTTACTGTTTTACTTTCTTACCTCTTATTCACTTTCCAATCTACTCTAATCAATCTTCAGCCTCCACCAATATATCATAACTGGTATCATCATATCATTGAATTCCTTGTTGCTATATTTAATGGACATTTTTTCATTCTTATCTCAACTTCTCACTCAGTAACATTTATCACTCTCAACAAGTTTCTTCTTAAAAATTTTCTTGGTATCCAAGATAGCACCAATAACACTTTGGCCATTCCTTCTTAATCTTATCTGTGGGCTTTTCCTCTTTGCCTTTATTTTATTTTTGGTGGCTGGTCAGTACAGGAATCGAACACTAACCTTGGTGTTATCAGCACCATGCTCTAACTAACTGAACCCTAACCAGACAGCTCTCTGCCTTTCTTTTAAATGCCAGTGTTCCATGGGGCTTGGTCCTATGTCCTCTTTTTATCTTACACTTATCAGCTCTTAGTTATCTATTTTCAAGGTTTAATTGCTACTCATATACTAATGACTCCACATCTATATCTACAGCCCAAACATTTCTTCTGAGCTCTAAACTTGTATTTCCAAATAGCTGTTTGGTAACTCCAATTAGATGTTTCAAGAACATCTAAAATGCAACATGTCCAAAACTAAATTCATCAACATTGCCCCAAATCTGTTTTCCCTTACTATCTTAGTTAATGACCCCACTATTTACCCAGTTGCTCAAGGCAGAATCCTACACTCAACCTTGACTTACTTTTCCCTCACTTCACATATCTAATCATATCAAGGTTTGTTAATTCTACCAGGGCCAGGACTAGGGTGAACTGAGTGAAGCACTCATCTTGAAAACAAAATCTAAGGGAGTGCCAAAAAATTCAGCAATCAAGACAAATATTATTCTTGCCTCACCCTTAACACAATCTTTTCTTCACATTTTACAAATACCATTGAAAAATAAAAATCTAACAATCATTCCTCTGTTCAAAATCTTTTTGTAGTTCCCCACTGTCCTCATGATAAAGTTCTAATTCCTTAAAGGTTTAAAGGGCCCTTCATTGTTTGGTTTCTCTCAACTCCTCCTTTTTAATCTTTGTCATGTATGCTCCAGGTTATTTGATTTCCTTTAAGGCCTTTGAATGTGTCATACTGTCTCCCACCTCCTTGTTGTACAGATACCATATCCTCTTTCTGAATCACTTACATTCTCTTCTTGCTATTCTCATCTTAGATGCCATTTCTTTAGGCAATCCTTTTATGACCCTCAAAGTCTTAATCAGACATTGTTTCTATGTATTCCCATAGCTCTCTCTGTACTTCCGCAATTGTGACAATGATCATACTATTTGGTAAATTCCTATTTGTCTTCTTCTTCCTAAAGAACTATATATGTTGTTTGAGAGAATGAACCCTGCAGCTGTCTGATTCACCAATATGACCCCAATACTCAGCACAGAATTTGGCACATGATAGGTTCATTAAATATTTGTTGAATAAATGGAAAAAAAAAATTACAGTGAAAGGCCATAGAATTGAGTTAATTATTAGCACCCAGAAAACTGAAGCAGCTGACTAATAATGACAGCTAACATTTGTTTCAATATTTTATAATAAATGGAAAAAAAATAAAAGAATTAAATTATAGTGAAAGGCCATAGAATTATTTATTAGCACTCAGAAAACTGAAGCAGCTGACTAATAATGACAGCTAACATTTGTTTCTAATATTTTATAATTTTTAAACATTTCACTTACAACATCTCTTTTGATCTTCATAACTACTCTGATATGTAAAAATGACTACTATGAAATGATTCAGAGAAGGAGACACAGTACTAATCAGTGGAAAACCAGGAAAATACTTGAGAAAATGTTTGGCTTTGCAAGGAATATACTATCACAGCTCTCCTGGAATAAATTTCCTTGGTATTGGAAACTGAATAGTAATGTCTGCTCCTAGTAGAAAATAATCAGACTGAACATTGAGTCACTTGGTTCTTTTTCCTCTATTGAGCTCTTTGTGTGTTTGGACTGGATATCTTCCAGGGGGCGTCACCCTGAGGCTCAGAGTGAGAACAGGTTTCCAGGTCAATGATTAGAAACAATCATGGCCAAATTTCCCCTTAGGCTGCCTAAACTAAGGAACACCACAATCCACCTTCTTTTCCAGGACTGGGTTCTCAGTGGTAAAGAGAATGCCATTTGATCTAAGTTGAATTAGTTTCCGCCTACTTATTCAACTCCTCTTAATCTCTTTACTCAAGAGCAGACTCCCTGGGAGCATTGCAGAGCAGGGCAGAAAGAGCTAAACCCAGAAACTGCTTTAAAAGGCCCAGAGAATTGACAATATCTTCCAATTACCAGATAAATAAGTATCGGATGAAGTAAGCTAGTTTGAGAGAAAGGATTAATTCTCTCTCTTGCTTCCTTACACATTGTAGTGTAAAGCAGTGGATCTCAACCATATGTATTAGAATCACGTGAGATACTTAAAAAATTATAGACACCCAGCCCCCTGATTGGTCATAAGTGGGGCCCAGAGATTGGTCTTCTTAAAGGCTCCCCAGGAAACTTATTAGTTGAGTAACCTTGGGCACTGTTTTTTATAAGGTTTCTGACTTCATTCAGAATTTTTTCCAGGCTGGGCAGTTGGCTCAGTTGGTTAGAGTGTGGTGTTGTAATGCCACGGTCAAGGGTTTGGATCCCCATACCAGCCAGCCACCAAACAAACAAACAAACAAAAAACTTTCCAGAATTTATCTCCAAAGTCAAACCACTACAATAATGCCAGATAGGGTTAATGTGAGGATTGAATGAAATAGTTTGTGTAAAATGCCCGCACAATGCTTTACATGTGGCAAGCATCAGTGACTATTAGTTTTCTTTCCCCACTGCACTTACCAAGTGCTATCACCATTAGCAATCCTGGAACGCCAAAAGCCAATGCATAGCAGTCTTCCCCAAAACACTGAACATCTCCTAAAGAAAATGAGGGAGGGGGAGTAAACTTGAATCTTGAATCTTTGATGCTTATTCTACAAGCTCAGGTTCTTGAGGTCATAGACATAGCCATCCTCTTTCCTCCCATTACCTAATTCATAATCCTTCTTTTGGGCCAGGTAAATAAAGACTAAAAGAATTTCTCACAGATTTTCAAGACTTTATAAAAGGAGAAGATGGATAGCAGGAAGCTTTTTGGCTGACCAGAGTAAAGCCTTATACAAACAAGGGCCCTCGAAAACAATCCTAACCTCTCAGCATGGGTGTGATAAATGTAGAAATCAAGCTCCCTGCATTGATGGCGAGGTAGAAGACTGAGAAGTATCTAGTCCGTTCCTCTGCCTGAAAACAAACAGGATAAATCATTAGTGCAATGTGCCTCGTAGCTCCATCCCCACTCCATGTGCAGATTCACAGATGGAGGTACATACAAAGGGGCAGATTCAGCTACTGCCTCGGTGGTTTCTAGGCACATTAGATATTTAAAAACACGGTTTATGGACCCTAGACAAACATCTACTCATCTTTCAAACTCCAGTTCAAGCAGCTTTAACATTCTTTTACCCCTTTACCTGGGCAAAAATGATCATCCTGTCCTCAGTGCCACTACTGATGTACATATCTATTCTAACATTAATTTATTTGCATTAAATATCTGTTTCTTTCAGTAAGTTGTAAATTCCTTTAGAACAGAAATTGTATCTTACTCATTTCTATAATCCCCAGTACCAAGCATGGCACCTGACATATATTAGAAACTCAATAAATGTTCATTGACTATATATATGATTTTTCCTAAAAATTTTATTTATTTATTTCAATTATACATATTTATGTGGCACAGAGTTGACTATCAGTATTTGTGTGCAGTATGTGATGATCAAATCAATATTATTATCATGTTCATCATTACAAATCATAGTTACTCTTTATGTCCCTACCCAATTACTCCCTAACCCCTCTTCTCATCCCCCTTTCCCACCTCTAGGTCTGTTCTCTCCTTCTGAAAGTTCAACGTTTTATTGTGGTCTGTCTTCCTCCCTCCCTCCCTCCCTCCTCCCTTCTTTCCTTCTTTCTTTCTTCCTTTTCTTCCACATATGCGTAAGGACATATCGTATTTCTCTTTCTGTGCCTGGCTTATTTCACTTAACATAATTTTCTCCAAGCTCGTCCATGTTGCTGCAAGTGGCAGAATTTCATTATTTTTTATGGCTGAGTAGTATTCCATTGTAACAACTTTCAGATAAAGTTTCTGATGCTTCATTCATTATGTACTGCCATGTTTCATATAGGCACCCCAGATTTTTTTCTTGATTAAAACCATCAGTCCTTCCCCATTTTCTCTTTTCCTTTTTTTTGGCAGGGGGGGGGGGGGGCAAGGGGGCAACTGGCCAGTAAGGGTTTCAAACCCTTGACCTCAGTGTTATAATACCATGCTGTAACCAACTGAGCTAACCAGCCAGTCCCCCATTTTCTTTTTATAGTGTGTTTTGCTTCCTCTTCTGGTTTCCACTTAAACTTTATTCCACTTATCTAAATTGTGCTGTTCGCTGTACATAGAATCCCGGTTGCTATAGATTGGCTGTTTTTCCAAAGTCAGTAAGCAATTATGATCTATGGACCTTTGGACAGTTGAAGAGTATAAAATAACCCAAATAGTCTGAAAGGTAAGAGAAACACAGGAAGACAGGACAGAACAGAGGGGAGATAGTAGGCACCATGTCAGAAAGAAGGAAGGGGAGGGAAGGAGCTGGGGGAGAGAGAGAGAGACAGACAGGCTGACAGACAGAGACAGAGAGAAGGGGGTAGGGGGGAAGAAAGAGAGAGAGACAGAGAGAGAATCCAGAAGCATGATAAATAGCAGACAGACTGACAGACAGAGACAGAGAAAAGGGGGTAGGGGGGAAGAAAGAGAGAGAGACAGAGAGAGAATCCAGAAGCATGATAAATAGCTATAGAAGAGGGAATAGACATATGGAAATAGAGAAAAAAGAAAACTGAGAGCAAAAGAGAGGAAGCCAGAAATATTGGCTGAACTAAGAATAGACTATTCCCTTACCCATTGGTCACTGCTTCCTCACACAGGCCCATTTTTACCTTACTCACATTGCTTCCCCCCACCCATAACAATGGAAAGTATTCAGGAAAAGGGGATGATCAGCCAGGCAAATTCATCGACAGACACTCATTCTCTTTCATTCCAACTGATTCATTTTCCCTTTCATAGAATCTCAAAGCTAGATATGCTTAAATTATCTCTACACTACCCATCACCTCCCATTCCCAAAGAGCTTACCACCTTTCTTCTTACATACTTTGAGAGAGGGTAAATGCTCTATTTCCACATCCAACTATTCGAAGTTTTTCCTTCTATCAACAAAACAACTGACTTCCTTAGCTTTCACTCATTGGTTTCAGGTTTAACCACTGACATCCTTCTAGTATCTATAAACTACTATAATATTCCCCTTGATTTAAAAAAAATGTTTATTTTTTTATTGAAACATACTTGGTTATATATATCTGTGGGGTACAGCATTGAACATCAATACCTGTGTGCAATATGTGATGCTCAACCTCATTCTTATCTTATCCAGGCTAAATATCCCCATTTTCTTGAACCTTTCCTCATAAGACATCTCTTTTACTCCATCTGCCACCCTGGGCACTATCCTCTGAATGTGTTTCAGTTTTTCTGTCTATTAATGATCACCATCCAGCATTGAATACAACTTCTCAGATAGGATCTGACCAATGGATGACTTCAAAATTGGCAAATGGCTACATTCATGAAAATACAGAAATAACAGGACTCTTACATGTTTTTCTTCAAATTGGTCTCCACCAAAAGCTGCCACACAGGGTTTGATACCTCCTGTCCCCAAAGCTATCAGACTTAGGCCGACCAATGATAGGACTCTGAAATGGAGAGGTGAGGATGCTAAACATGTTGATACTAAACACAACTGTAGGGATGGACTATAGAGCTGTGGCAGGAAAGAAATGTATTCAATGACAAAGATTCCCTTCACAATTCTACCCTGTGGGCACATTCCATTGCCTTCACTCCTAGGAGGTACTCATGGGCTCTTACCATCTTTATGACTCTTGACCCTCTGCTGAACAGCATGCATTGCATGGGAAGATTTTGTTCCTGGTAGTTTAATTTGCCCTTTGTGTGCATCAGACAGAAGCAGAAACTGAAGGGACTCCAAAGCTAACTTGCTTGTTCTCAATCTTGTTTTAGTCAAAGGGACACTTCAATAAAGAGACCTTACAGAAGACCCTGATCCCACATACCCTTCCTAACCACCAAATAAAAGGTTAAAATTCATCACAATTAATAGGAGCTGTGTCAATGATTTTTGATGTGACACAAATAAGAAGTATCTAATATTTTTAAAATTTCAAACAAAATTCCTAACCCATAGGATAAACACATGTATAAGCACATTATGACATGAACACATATGACCTACTCCCTGAACAACTGTAATCCTCTCTACTGACTGAACCAACAGACACCAGAATTTACCAAATGCCTCTAGTCCCATAAACATCAATAGCTTAAGTAAAGAGGGATAGAGCAACTGGAGTATATGGGACTAAACATAAATGGAAATATTCTAAGCTTTGAATATGACTTCTATAATGTATTATAAAAAAATGACAGATTTTTAAAACCCTGGTGAAGTACACATGCATGGATGGATAAATAAGTGAGGGAATATGGAGGGCATGAAGGTTTTAATTGTTTTCAAACATATAAAGAGTTTTTATCAAGAGGGTACTAACTAGGCATTCTACAAGTCCCCAAATTCTAAATAAAAACAAATGAGCTCAGATAAAGTAGGAAAGAGTTCAACTGCTCATAATGTTTTTTTTTTTTTTTTCTTAACCAATTTGGTAATAAAACCATAGATTGGAAAATAAAGGAACATCTCTGGTAAGAAAATAGAAAATAATCTGTAATGAATGCCTGAGACATATACCTGTCTAATGGAAGAAAAGTGGTCCAGCTGACCCCATGATTTTACTCACGTGTGTATCACTTGTCCCCCCAGTATTGGTAAGGCACCCAAGGACTTGATCACATGGCCAAGCACATACACCAAGGAGAGATAAATGATTGTCCTGTTGAAAGAGTGCAGTCAGTCAGTCTAAAAACAGAATTCAGACACTTGAGTAAGACAGAGTCAGAGTTCACACTGTTCTCAACGTGGAGATAAACAGAGAAAGAGGAGGAAGGGGTGGAGGAGGAAAGAAGTATCCGAGAAATGCAAATAGAAACAATAATAGTGAATGAAGTAAACAGACTAGAAAAAAGGAGTGTAATTCTTCACCCTGTAGTGTTAGAGGTAATAGACATTTCCTTCAACCTTTCTCCTACCTACCCTCCCTTCTCCCCACTACCCACTCACTCCACACATACACATAGCACCCCTACTTTTGTACAGATATGACAAGAACAGGGTGGATATGTAGCAAGAGTGATATTTTAAATTAGGAGAACCAGTAGAACTTTGACCTGAGATGTTTTTCTCAAGTATGTCTTTTGCTCTAGAAATCAAGAGGAGTCAAGGTTGAACTCCGAATAAACAGAAATGACTGACACAAAGGACTTTCTCTAAACCTAAGCACTGGGATATATAGAGAGGTAAAGAGTTCTCAGGTTCAGCCTGGGTAACATAGACACTTGGATGAATTATAATCCACACTACAATTTCCTCAGGGACAAGTTACCAAGGGTAAGAAAGGAACGTGGGTCTTAAAATAGAATGTCCAAGGATAAAAGTCATGCAGTTGGTAGGAACTTCCTGTTGTGTTGTTTTCTCAAAACAAAATTGAACAGCAAATAGGAAGTAGAAGAGTGAAGTGTTCCAAATAGGAACATATATAGAGATATACACATTCAAATACAGTACACTACCACATAGACTCCTTATGTATATTACCACACCAGCATTCTCTTGAAGTATAAGTAGAATGTTAGCAGTATAACAAACCTTGGAAATATGTGGTTTATATCTGTGATTTTATAGTGTTACATGCTAATGTGGAATATAAAGAATGAAATGAAATGAAGGTAGCAAAGAGAAGCTGAAGATGCCAGAAATCTCAGGATATGGATTTCCCATTGTAAATGCCTAATCTTTCTAGGATGGCTTTCTAGGGAAGGGACTTTAAAGGGTACATAATGGCAGGTGGGGGATAAGCAGTTACGTGACTAATCCAGGGCTAATTAATTAACATCAGTGGAGGGGGCAGGCTTTCCCAAAAGACCTTGTAATATCTTCTGGATAAAAGCTTTTTTTGTGTGTGTGGGAATAAAAAAAATAGAAAGAAAGGTAATAAAAAGGAACTGAAAAAAGTCTAGCCATCATGAATACAAAAGAGATGATCTATGCTAGATTATCAGAGAGAAAAAAAGAAAACAAAAGGAGTCTGAGCTGGAGTGGTAAGTCTGGGTAGGAAGATTAGATAAGTATACAATTGTTGGACGGAATGAATGAGTGAAGAATACGTGGTTTGGGAGGAAAATAGGCAACTTTCTAGATGAAAAATCCGTAGGAAATAGTCTAGCTATGAAAGATACAAGAGATAAGAGATAAATATGAGAGGAAGCAAGAAACTTTAACAGAGAAAGAAGTCAAGAGAGACTTGAAAATTCTTCATTTGAAATGAGTTCAGAAGGACCATTGTAATCTCAACCACAGGACATAGAACTATTTTAGGTAGACTTGACCAATCCCCCAATTTTACAAACCAGAAAACTGAAATCCAGAGAGGTCAAATGACATTCCTAAAGTGACATTTTAATTAGGATTAGATCCAGAACTTCTACTTTCTAACTCATAGCCCAACATTCCTTCAGTTTTATCACAAACTAGTTAATGTGGAAAAGAGAAAGAGATGAGGAAAAACTTATAAATTTTATTTCACCATAAGAATTTCAAAAGCCGGAGCCATTTTTAAGAAGAGCTTCGAAACTGAGGAGTATATGCAGAGACTAAGAAGGAGTATGTGTACTGATGGCAGAGGAAGAAACCTAGCATGAAGACAAGAGGTCAGCTCTGACCAGACAAAAAAGATAGGAGACAGAAAGGACATGTTATAGATCTACTCAGAGAAAGAGAAAGAAGTGTAAAGAGGATATCCAAAATTAAAATAAACACATTTAAGAGAGTGGTTCTAAGTGATTGCCGAGATCAAGAGCCCAGACTGATAGGCATGGGTCACAGGATATAAATACTAGAAACTATGACTAAAAGTTTTTCTCTCTTAAAAGCAACTTGTCAATAAAAAAAAAAAAAATAGCATCCTAGCATGTAGTTAACCCTCTCAGTAAATGTTTATAGAAATCATGAGAATGATATGCCTGTTCAATAATTTTTATTTTCCGCGGTGTACCTATTAGCTAGTCTTTCCTATGTGTAGCCATGAAGAAAGTCTAACTTCTCTCCTGGCATAGGGAATTCCTTATACAAGAGTCAGGGACCCTGGGTGCCCATTTCCTCTTAACAAAGCTGATTCTGAGATAGCAAACAGAGGAAGGATTTTTTTTCCTAGATAAAGGATTTTTTAATTTAAAAAAAAGGATCATTAATAGAAATTCAGAAAATTGTCCCTTAAAGGTTTGAACAATCTTTCTAATGTTATAGAAGATTTTTCATCCCCAAGATAATACCTGAAAAAAAGTACACATACACACGCACACACACACACACACACACACACACACACACACAGAGACTCTGGCAGAGGAGCACATGAGAGGTGGAGAACTTATAGTTTGAAACACATAAGTCTATCTCATTTTCCTCTAACCAATGAAGGAAAGAAGACTGCAAGTTCAAATTAGAGAAGCGGGTGAAGGAGGAGCCTGCTCTTTTCCTGACTTTTCAACCTAAGGTATTCAGGAGTAAAGTATGGGGGGGGCGGTGGTTTAAGTGCTTATTTCTTTGGGTTGCTATTATCTCAAATAGATCTGCAACACAACCAGCGTCACTTTAGACAAGCCCAAGTACAAAATGGCACCGCCCACCTCCTCCCCTCCCCTCCCCCCTTCCCTCTAGGAGAAGCCTCCTGACTTAAACAGAAACCCCTTTTGCTTCAGCAAGGACGCAGTTCTCCACCCCGATCACATTAGCATAATGACCCTCCTTGATGGTATCACCCAGCTCTTGGCTGCCAACATACCAATATAAGCTCTACCACCCCCACACCTGGTGCTGTTCTGTCCCCTTTCTAGGGCAGCCCTGGGATGCCTGCTACTTTGAGCACAGCCCAGCAGATTTTCTTCCTTTAATAAAGCTTGTTAACGGTACCTGGCATCTCTCGTCTCACTTTCTTTCACATTCTATTTGTATATGTGGACTCTCAGACACACATGCCTGTAGGAGAAAAAGCTACCTATGTTTTTAAATCACTTCCTTTCTGAAAGAGATGCCAAAAACACCCGCAAAAGAGTTTTGTTATTTAAAAAGCAACTACGATACTCACAAGAAAATAAAAGTCATCTTCATGCCTGTCCATACCTATTCTCAGTCTTGTGTCTATATTTGAGGGTCTAAGGGTGAATAAATTTATTAATTCAAACATTTATTTTGGGCCTGCTATGTACCAGGCACTGTTCTAGGTGCTGTGGATAAAAATATAAATGACTTTGCCTTCTAAGTGTTTGGAAGAAGATATCAGATTTATATACAAATAATTATATGATAGAATTTTGTGAATCTCTTATGAGGGTGTAGGGGCTAAGGGTAGACATCGCCTTCAACCCTCTGAAGTTTCTCTTAAAAAATCACCTGATAAGCACAGATTAATATGGAGAAAAGACATAACAAATTGTATTATATCGTAGTTTTATATGACACAGGAGCCTTCAGAATGAAGACCCAAAGATAAAGGGAAAATTGTCCATATCTACGCTTAGGTTCTATGAAGGAGGCACAGCCATGTAGAAAAGTGATTGGACAGGAAAAGTATGATCTAATGCTGATCTAATAGACTGAGTGGGGAAACACAGCAAGGCCTGTTTGTTGAGATTCTTCTTGGCCTCTCTGTATAGCATTCACTCCTCCAGGACAATGGGGCAGGATGCTTTCTGGAATGGGGGTCTTATGACCTACAATCAAACAAGGTAGTTCAGAGAATTTCTTTATGGGGCCAGCTCCAAGACAGAAAGGCAGGGAGGAAGATTGGAGTACATCTATGACCCACCTTGGGGAAGAGGGATTCTAGTTTCTATGGCTTGCCGCAGGGGAGAATGAGGCTAAGAAACAGGAGGGTGGAAGAAGGTCAGAGGAAAACTTTGCTTTTGAGGCTGTTTCTGAGGCCTTCACTTTGGGGTATCACTTTCTCAGTTTCAACAAGGGTAAAAAAATAAACAGATTGGAGAAGACTAGATTACTTCTGGCTAGTAGTGAAAGGTAAAGGGGCAGAGAATACTCCATAGCATAGGCGGTATTTCAACTGAGCCTTAAAGGGTTTGAACCTGGGAAGACAGGGAGGGGGATTCCACGAAGTAGAAATACAGCAAACAAATATGGAAAAGATATTCCACTGGATATTGTTAGGTAAATATTAGTATTCAACTTTTCTCTAGTCACCATTCTTGGAAGGGAGTGTGACAATAAGCTCAGAAAAGTAACAGAAAATGATTCAGACACCAGAAATTTTTGAGCAGAGTATTAATGAGATCAGAGATTTCTTCCAAAGATTAATTTGGCAGTAGTATATAGGCTCAATTGTAGGAAAAAGATATGGGAGGCAGTAAAAACATTTTAGCTGTCCACTTCACTATTCCAATTTAGAGGCAATGAAGACCAAAATTAGGGTAGTGGTAAATAATGGCAGTTGGACTTAGTGTTGAAGAAGGATATGTGTGAGAAACATTGTAGAAATAGAATTGGTGGAATTTGATAACTGATTGGGTGTGGGATGTAGGGAAGACAGGAGAAAGAACAGATTGGGGGAGTGCGGACAAGGTGGAACATCTAGGAGGTGAATGCCAATATGCTGTTATAATGCATAATGGAGTGGGAGTGAGAGGTTATAATATTTTGAAGAGCTATCTGCATATAGCTAATATTGATGCACACCACAGGATTTGCTAGGGGAGAGTGTGGAGAAAGAGAAAAGGGTGAAAGTTATAACCTGGAGGAAATGCTTACATTTAGGAAAGAGTGGAGTAAGCAGGGGGCAAAAGAGAAGCCAGATAAAAAAAGAATCCAAGGGCTGAACCCATGGCGCACTCGGGAGAGTGCGGCGCTGGGAGCGCAACAGCGCTCCCACCGCGAGTTCGGATCCTATATAGGGATGACCGCCGGTGCGCTCACTGGCTGAGCGCGGTGCGGCTGGTCTCAAAAAGAACAACAACAACAAAAAGAATCCAAAAATGCGGAGAGTGAGAAAATACAGTGTTAAAGAACACTCAGAAGTTTCAAGAACATAGAGTGATAAACAGACTGAAATGTTAAAACAAGTTCAAAATGAATAGAATTTAGAAAAGACCACTGGAATTTGTTAACAAAGAAATCATTATCAGTGGTCTTTCAGAGTCATTTCAGTAGGAAAAAAAGATAATTTGTACTACACCTTATTGTACTTACCACAGTCTGTTCTGTATTAATGCTATTTGAACATGAGCAATGTGGAGCAGATATTATGTGTAATTCATCTCTTTATTCCCTATGGTTCTTTGGACAGATGAAAGGTGCTCAATAAACATTTACTGAATTAAACTAGATCACATTAAATTGAATGTAATTAGAGTCTATTGCGTTGCATTATATTCCTCTACCATAAAAAGTGATAATGAAGAGTGAGAAAGAAAAGCAGCACAGACAGATGGTTCTTTTTAAAATTGGGGGTAATGGTGAGAAGAGAAAGAAGATAGGTAAGGAAGGGTCAAGAAGAATTTCGTTTGTTTAAAGCTATTAGAGATTTGCATCTGCTTCTCTGAGGGAGAATGTAAAGGTAAGAGAGGGGAATATTGAGGGTACAAAAATCTTAGAGTGATCTGGGTGATAGTGAAACATGTAAAAATTCATCAACCTGTACTCTTAAGACTTTTGGATTTGTGTACTTTACATAAGTTATACCTCAGTAAAAATAAATTTTAAAAAAATTAAAAAATACCTCAAGAAGGATTGAATTGAGGGCACAAGTGGAAGTTGTTAAATTTCTTCTGAAATAGACAGGAAGCTATTATTCACCAAATCCTGAAACGATTTCTTCAATCTAAAGGAAGTTATTTTTAAAATAAATAAAAGTGCTGCGCCAGGTATGTGAGTCTTAATTCTACAACTGAATAAATAGACCATGGCTTGTACTTTTTATTCTGCACATAGTGCCAACCCCCTATCTGGATGAACTTGGTGACTACTACTTCATATGTAGATGGGTAGATCTCAGTCACCTACTCACCATTCCTCTCCCAAGTCAGGAAACTGTGTTAACTGTATTGTGTCTATAGATATATACCAGGTGCTGATCAAATGCTTTTAGAACAATGAGTATATATACAGGCCAAAGTAAGGTATAAACCAGTGTTTACTGAAGAGGATTCCTTGGAACACTAAGTCCACAAAATACTTTTGAAAAAATATTCTATTTTCAAACTAGCTTGGGAAACTCTACATACTATTACCTTCTCTTGGAGATTTCATAGTGTATATTAGGATGTTAAAGGCTATAAGTCATGCAGTAAGGAAACATTTTGTTCAGCCTAGCATTTTCCAAACTTATTTGAACATAAGAGCTTTATTTTCCCACATAACTCATTATATCCTATACAACCAATTTTCAATAGAATGAACCTTAAGAAATGCTAATTTAGACAAACCCGTGAATAACAAGTCCACAGAAAATAACTGGGCAATGGATACTGAAGATTCATCTCTAGCCTATAATAGGATAATATTATAGGGGACAACAATAACATACTGTAATGTATGTCTTGGTGCTATTTTCATGGACTTAAAAGATATTGAACTGAATGGACCATTTGATAACTCATGAAAATATTTATTATATTCTCATGAAGAAAACTACAGAAAGAGGTTAGAAATGAGAAACAAAAATGGCTTAAGAGAGCTGAAAAGAGGGACACATGAGAAGATACTAAAGAAGTTGGGATGATTGCATCTGGAGAAGAGATGGAAAGTATCAACTACATTAAGGTCTCAAATTATAAATTTGCTGGTGGGTAGCAGTCTCTATCCCCACTAAAATCAGAACAAGATTTGGTCTTAGACTATAGAACAAAAGATTAAAATTAGATTTAAGGAAAAAAAGAAAAGCCTCTTTGCTGAAAAAGATGTGAAAACAGTTGAAAAACTAATAATGAAAAGAAATTGCCTTTCAGTGTTGTCAGTTATGGGAAAGCAAAATATTTCAGCCCCAAATATATTTCTTTGACATATTTCAAGATGGCTAATTCAGGGAGACTGGAAAAACAAGATTAGCTAGAAGGCTGGTGTGCGCGTGCGTGCGTGTGTGTGTGTGTCTGTGTGCGTGTGTGTGTGTGTGTGTGTGTGTAAATAAGTTTACATTTATAACGCAAACAGCCAGGCTTCCTCTGAGGCCCCTCCTTTAGCTACTACCCATTCTTTCTAAGGGCAGCTGTTAGTTTACCTGAAATATTTTTATCTACATAACAAGATAGTCTCTGCCTAAATTTAAATTCCGCCTTCCTTCTTCCACCTGTGAGGCCACCTGCCCAAAGCTTGGGAGAAACTTGGTCACAAGCCATTGTTCTGGGACTTGTACCTCCCCCACCTTCTCTCTCTTATAACACTAGGATATAAACTTTGTACCCCAGTGGCTTATTGGGATTTTGGAGAAATTACTCTCTTGCAATTCCCCCATGCATTGCCCCCTCACAGCACATTAAAATAATAAAATTTGTTATGCCTTTTCTTCATATTAATTTAATATTTTGTTTGTTTGTTTGGAGGCTGGCCAGTAGGGGCTCTTACCCTTGACCTTGGTGTTATAACACCATGCTCTAACCAACTGAGCTAACCAGCCAGCCCATATTAATTGAATATTGAAAGTTGATTTTTTAAGTGAACCTTCAGGGGTGAAGAGGAAGTTCTTCCTTTGGCCCTACACAGAGATTCTTATTTGTCATGGATGACATAAGTATGTTCTTGCTTGGAGGCAAGAGGCTAGCAGTGACAACATTTTGCACAATTAATCTGTGAAACTTATTTTCCTTACTTGAATTTTCCCAACAATGAGTCAGCAATAGCTGCTCCCAGGATAGGAGTGAAATAACAGAGGCTGCTGAAGGCATGGTATACTGATGTAGAGGTGTCTTCATTCCAGTGCAGAAAATACAGGAAATACAGGGTAAGCACAGCTGAGACAACAAAAAGGGGGGTGGGTGGAGAAAAAACAAGATAAATGTATTAAAGTGACTTACAAAGAAGCATATTTAATCTCTGGTCTATTGAAGGTGATCTTGGCCTTCAGAACTCCTACCAGTGAAGTAACTGAGGCATGACTGCCAGGCAGTAGATGCACAGCCCACGAGAGTTGTGGAATGAATGTACAAATACAATACTCTCCCTTTAGTCTATGGGCACTCATAGCATCATTTAGGCCAATGATGAAGATAACATGGTCCTTCCAATATCCTTTCTTTCTCCTTCCCAGCAACAATACAGTTCATAGACCTGAGGAACAGGTATGAAGAATGGAACTCAGATGATGAGAGCTTTCCCACTTATATTCTCACAGGCTGTGCTCTGGTTTCTGTCAGGACTTTCTGATCTTGGCCTGTATGAGTCATCAGGTGAAATCTCATGAGGTATTTATTGGAAGTCTTGGCCAAAGGAAAGGACCAATTTGGATGAAGGCAGAAAGAGTGGATAAGGGAAATAAGTATATACAAGGAGACCAGGCTCTTACAAACATGGGGTAAGGGTGAGTGATGAGTAGGACTCTGGGACTCAAAATTACCTTTCATGCCATAATAAGAAAAGCGCTCGCAGAATTCATTCACCACGATGAAGGCAATGCTCAGTGGATAGTTGGAGCCACAGATTTTCTATGCAACAAAATGGCAATGGTTCAAGCATGAGCTATTTTTCTCTATTTCGACTACTATGTTGCTCCATAACTGAAAAATTCATTCATTTAAAATTGCTACAGTGGGTTATGGGAGCAATGGTTTCTACTCTTATAAAATAGCTGCTATCACACTAAAAGTGATTACATTGCAGATTTAGGAGTAATAGAATCTAATCTGAATATTACTTTATTCCTCATTTATTTAACATGGAACTGTTCACACATTCCTTGATCCTAGACCCCAGGACCTGACCATCTTCCCACAACTTCTAGATGAAAAGCCTGGAGTTCTGGGCAGAGAATAATCATACTCACTTCTAGGAACAGAATGAAGAGGTACTTGATATGGACTACCTGATATCCAAGCAGTTAGATTCAGATGTCAGTATCCTGTGTAGCTCTACCGTGGGGGCTGATCCCTCTTGTCCCTATCTGCCCTGTTTGCTATGCTAGGAATATGATGGCTTCCTCTTCAGAGGCTGCTGGAGCCAGACACAGAGCCCAACATGGAGGGCAGAGACTACTAAAGGTAACCTTGACCTTGGGCAGAGAGTTCTTAAATCCTATAAAATTAAATATCTACTCTTCTCACTAAAGAGATTGTATAACAGTTTCATGATAATGATACTGGACATTAAAAGAACTGTATGCTAGACCGGCCGCTCACTGGCTGAGCGAGGTGTGGGAGCAGCACCGAGGGTTGCGATCCCGTTGCCGGTCCCGGTCCAGTACGGGCACGACACTGAGGGTTGCGATCCGTTGCCGGTCACGAAAAAAGACAAAAGGGAAAAAAAAAAAAAAAGAACTGTATGCTATTTCATATACTATATCAGTTAGAATATAAGGAATGTCATGATTTATTTCAAATGCCTACCCATTACAATTGCTCAACTAACGTAAGAGGGAGATGAAGATACCTGTCTTGGGACTCAAATCTTTTTTTTTTTTTTTTTTTTGGGGGCTGGCTGGTACAGGGAATTGAATCCATGACCTTGATGTTATAAGGCTGTGCTCTAACCAACTGAGCTAACCAGCCAGACCCTGGGACAGTCAAATCTTATCATGGGATTTATATTGCCTCTTATTACATAAGATATATAATCTTTGTAAGCAGCCTTAAATTCTTTGGGACCAGAAGAGATATAACTAACTAGATAAATAGATAAAATAATAAATTAATGTATTCATTCTTTTACCCATATGGATATACATAAACAGCCCTCTTAAATATTAATGTATGTTAATGTATGATAATAACTTGCTTGAAAGACACAATGAACTGGGCTTCTTATTGTCCTAGCTCACAGCCTGAGAATTATGCAACCTGGAGTTTAGTTAATATATTGTCATATATGTAACACTGTCACTGGCTGTGTTAACATACTGATACTGGCCATGTCACTACACCTTAGTTCTGTTATTCCAAAGAAATGAGAATATTACCACCTCTTAGCCCATAGTAAGAACTCAGTAAATATTGGCTATTATTACTATATCCTGTTCATATAGGATTTTGATACAAAGATTGAATGAGATAATGAATTTGGAAGTGCTTTAACAAATATATAATGTAAAATATTATTATTTCTTTGTTTCTCTGTCCTATCTCCCACTGTAAACTGGGAACACATAGTAACAGAGATTGGATCTATTCTAAAACTTCCATTGGTATCCAACATAAGGCTCTGTGCACAGGGGAAACTAAGGGCTGAGTTTTTATACTGGTAAAGAAAGAACAATCACACACAGTTCTCCACACAAAAATGCTTGCCAAGTTTCCTGGACATTCAAATTACTTCTTTTTTCCCCCAGGGAAACTCAGAATATGTAATGAAAATACAGCAAAGCCCTGGATCCCAGCTGAAGAACTCTGACTACCTCTTACTACTGCTTCCTTTCCTAAGTAAGAGCAGCTTCTGTTTGGATTTGGTTTCCAGGTGAATTGTAACTGCAAGACAGAATAATTTTTATATCCTAATACAGCTCAGCCTGAAGCTCCAAAGCCAAAGAAGAGAGTCAAAAGAGCGAAGCTATTCCTGTCAGAGGCAGAACTGAATCTGGGTACTTACCGGAGGTGGCTTCTTTGGAGGGCTGGGGTTTTGAGGTGGTACCCCTTCGGTACAGACAGGTGAAAAAAGAATTTCCATGGGCTCATTTTTCTGGAAGGGATTCATGGCTGGTTCCTTTCTCTCTCCTCAAGCATTTGGCTTCAGTAGGCAGTTAGGACAGCTGCCAGCCTACTGTGAAAAGGGGGACTGGGCGGGGGGCGGGCAGTAGCTTCTGCAACTGGATTTAACCCTCTGGGTGTCAGCTTCAGTAGCTGCCTGACACAGAGCAAAGCAGGAAAGCGTTGGTGTCCTAGGTCAAAAGAATGATTTTGTAAAAGGTAGAGGTCACAAGATGGTATGAGACAATGCTACAGGACTGATGAGGAAATCCATATTCAAGAAAGATTATCTTTGCAAATGAGTACAAAATAATAAGAATTCAATGCCTCAAGCATAGATTAAAAAACTGATTTCAGGGTAGCAATAGCTGTCATATATTGAACACGTATTATGTGCAAGGTTAACATATATATTTGAATTACACATGTATTACATGTACATATATATAACATATTTATTTATTCTAATTCTTACTAGCGTCTCCATTTTACGGAAACTAATGTTTCAACAGGTTAGGTAATCTGTCCAAAGTCACATGGCCAATAAGTGGCAGATCTGGATTTTCATTATGCCGTGACAGAGATTAGTATCAGTAGTGACTTTGGCCGTTATTCAGGTATGGAGGCTATGGAAATGGAAATGTAGAAATGTAGGGAAATTGAAATGAATTGAAGAGAAAGTCATCACAAAACTTAATTTGAGAGATAGGAAAGATGTTGATTTTGGTTTTCAGCATCATAAAGTTCAGCTAGAAATGTCCTACTGATAACCAAAAAACTTCTCTGACCGGGTCAGCTAAATTATAATGCCCTGGAAGATCTGGGATAAGTCAGTCATCACGTCCACCTGTTACGGAAAACATTCTCATAAGACCATTTTTACTTAGAAGCTGACTTAATGGCACCAAAAAGCCATAAAATAAACTAGAATGCTTCTTACCTCTACCCTAGATTCTTATATGTAGGATGTAACCTAGTAACAATCCCAAATCCATAGGTCATGTAGATGTCATGAGGTAATTAGGTGAGGCTGTCTCTCACTCTCTCTCTCCCTCTCTCCATTGATCCTTCCCCCTTCTTGTGATTATAAAATGCAAAGCTCTGCTGACCCTCTTCAGAACACATTTCTCAGGGAGACCCATGTGTCTCCCCAGTTGCTATCATCATACTGGCTCAATAAAATCCTTGCTATATGTATTTGGCCTCAGTTTCTTTTTAGGTCAACACTATAAGCAATAAAGAAGTGGAGCTAAAGAAAATAAGAGTTGGTGATGCACATTTGGGAATTCTTCTTCTTTGCTAAAGTCATTTCTTTTGTTTTAATTCTCTTCAAGATGAATTCATCCTTTCATTTAAATAAAATTTAATTTGACCAAAAATTGTGAACCATTTACTTTCTAGGTACTGTTGCAAACAGTATTTTCCTTCATTTTCAGTGGATGGACTCCTTAATGACTTCAGAATATAGTATTTTTAGTCTTTATCAGAGGAGGAACAAAAACAAACATGATGATGATTAGATGCATTTTATACTGTATTAGTTTTGCTAAGTCAAAGAGGTAAATAAAAAAAAGCATTGTGCCCCTCTAGTTGTCAGTCAAAAGAAAAGAGGAGACAGAATGGCCAGAGTTATAAAAGAAATAAGAAAGATGAGGACTAAACCAATGAAAGGTCAGGCAACACCAAAATGAGTTATTTTATTTGAGAGTACAAGAGAAAAAACCTGTGGCTCTATCCCTTGCAAAATTCTTACATTACCTATCTGAATAATTTACTGACAAACAAAGCTAGGATAAACTCTACCCTTTTCTCCGTAAACTTTAACTCAGACTTTGACCATGTCTTCTCAGCTTCTATTACACTCCTCATTTCCCATCTCTCCCACCAGCCTTTACCCAAAGAAGAATCCAGCTTCATTTCTGTGGCATTAATGATTAAGCTGTAGTTATTCTTTCAGAAGTATTGCCTTTTCTGTTCTAGTTTGGTTAATGATTCTGGATGCAAAATACATGAACAGTCAGAAGTTACTAGTCAAGTTAACTGTTGTAAATAATACTGCAATAATAACAATAATTGCATATAAGTTAAATATATCTGCAGAATATATTTCCAGAAGTGAGACCGCTGAGCCAAAAGTATGTATTTTTATCATTCTGGGAACCTAGTCATTTTCTTTGTCCATTTTTCTACTCAGTTGTTTGTCTCTTTCTTGTAAATTTGTAAGATCTATGTGCATATATATATTTTTTCCTTTCTGTCTTTTTTACTGACTGGTAATGGGATCGCAACCCTCGGTGTCGTGCCCGTACTGGGGACCGGCGACGGTATCACAACCCTCGGTGTTGCGACCGCACCGCAGCCAGTGAGCGGGAACCGGTCTCCACATGGGATCTGAACCCTCGGCGGGAGCGCCTCCGTGCTCCCAAGCAGCACACTCTCCAGTGCACCACCGGGCCAGCCCTATGTGCATATTTTTTATATTAATACTCTGCCATCCTTTATACTGCAAATATTTTACCTATTAATTTTGTTTATGGGCTTTTAAATTTAAATATAACCTGCAGTG